CATTCCTGCACTTTATTAGCATTTATGAGCACTCCGGCTCTCTGCTCACTTCTTCCGCTCGGCACAGTCCTGTTACACACCTCCTTCCCCCGCAGCGCGGCCGCGGCCACGTAACCCGCAGTGACCGCGTCCTCTCAGAGGAGAGCCCGGCCGAGGGCAGGGCAGGAGGCTTCTGCCCCGGGCGGTGTTTGGGAACCCGGGGGAGATGTTGGTCCCAGAGAGCCGGGAGTTGTCCGTCTGTCCTCCCCGTGGCCGCCCTGCCCACAGCCCCGCCGCCTCCTGACGCTGCTTAACGTGCGGTTTCCACTCCGCTTTCAAACGAGCAAAGCCAAACCTCTTGCTGTCGGCTCCCCGCGCCGCGGTGGGGCTGGTTCCCCGCTCTGGGTGTTGCAGGAGGACGGAAGCGAACCCTGAGCTGCTTCACCGTTCTGCCGACTTACGGCTCTTTTCCCCGGTCGTACAGAAGGGCGAGGAGGAGTGCGGTACTGCCCCGGCTCTTGTGCTGCTGTCAAAAATGCCCTTCCAGCACTGAATCTTGAGAGAACAGTCAAAAGCCAGCCTCTACAGGCAAGGGCAGATCCAGACAGCAGTAAAATACACTTTGAAATCTGTCTGGAGGCAGCCCAAAATCTGGCTCTCACGCAGGCGGGCTGCCTGCCCTCTTTTAGAGCTGTTTACTTTTCGGGGAGCGCCAGGCAGAGTTGCTGCAGTTGCCTTTGCTCTCTGCCGGGACCGCGGGGGGCTCTGGGGTGCTGCCCCTCGGGGTCGGTGTAGAACCATCCCGTCCTGCGGAAGGCAGATGGATGGGGTCGGGCACTGGTTGCAGCGGTGGAGGTTTCTCTGCCATCGCCTTGGACGGATGGGTGTAAAGTGTCACGTAAGGGGAATATTCGCTGTTTGGACTGTTTCCTGCCCAGCCGATCTCAGACTTTCGAAAACCTTTTTGCTGCTACCTTTTTGTAAAAGACTCAAGCTGGTTTCCTTCTATTTTCTAATCCCCTGTGTTGAGCATGCAGTGCAAACATCTGTTTAAATCAGAGCCAGACACCTGATATATATTTTATTGGTTATATTATGTATAGAGAGAATTTAGTATACACTTAAGCAGACAAAGATGCCAGCAGCCTGCCCCAGCACGCAGAGTCCGGGCCATATCACTGTGCTCCCGGTTATCCCAGTGAACGGGACGGTCGCTGTGCAGTGGGGAAGCCGATGGCTGATACCCTCGGAGCTGTGCCCCCGGGAGTGTGCTGAGCAGTCGCCGCTTTGCACAGCCGATGGAAAGGAAAAACCTTTTTTTTTCCTTTTTTTTTTTCTTTTTGTGTTGTTTTTTTTTTCTTTTTTCTCTCCCTTATCCTCCCCTTTTTCCCCTGGTAGAAAAGCCTCTGTCAGGTGACCTACACAGACTATTTCTTTCTGGGGAGCCCAAGCACCAGCCCCAGCCCACCGGAGCGTGACTCCATCCCTCCATTGCATCAGCATTTGGGTTGTGCAGACCAGTGCCGCTCTCCTCCTCTTCTCATTTGTGTCCCCCCCAGAAGAGCTTTCCAGCCCGGCCGCGAGCGACCCGTCCCGGTCTGCCGCGAGCTGTGCTTGGCAGGGAGGGGGTGACCACGGGGACCCCCGGGAGGGTCTGCCCCCCTGGACCTCCTGAGGGTCCGTGCGGTTAAATCCCATCCCTCGCGACCCGGGGGTTCCTTTGGGAGTCGGTTTCTCTCTTTGCAACTCTCCAGAAATCGAAGGCAGCGGGGCAGCGTGGCACCAGCTCGTGGAAAGTCGGTTTGGGGCTCGTTTCTGGTTTGGCACACGGGTTCGCTCGCTGTCGTGCATGTCGCAGCGCCCGAGGTCCCGTCGCGCGGCTGCTGGAGCCAAAGCGCGGGGGCAGGTCCGGGCAGGG